TTCTTGACGTCCATCACGCGTATTGGGTGTCTCCACCGGTATATACCTATTAGGCTTGTTCCATGTAGGGTTAGAAAATGATCCTGGTTGTCCCATTGGTACAAAAGGTACTTGGTTTGATGATGTCAATGGAACATATTGCTGATACCTCTATTGCTCCTTACCATAGTTTTGGGGGTTTAATGTAGACTCCTGATTAAATTGGAACTTTGAAAGTTATTGAATGCTCGATTTTGTTGATTAAATCGATTTCTATTCTATCTAAACGTATTTCTCATTTGAACTTAATTGACTTCCTACTAAGTTGGTGGAATCATGGTCTGATTACTGAATTTTTGTTACCTTTGCTAATTCCAATAATTAGCTGTTAAGTGCTTTCTTCCACAAAATGTACATTGATCCATTATTTGTGAGGGTGAAGGATATTTTGTTACCAAATGACTGTGGCCCTTACAATTACTGTACCATACATTGGTCCTAGTATTAGTAGGCTTCTGCCTCTTTTCCTCATCTTTGGCCATATTAATGGCCATTTCTTCCATTTTCTTTGTTAGGTTCAATAGCAAGGTTTCATTGGAATATTTTGACGTGGTATTAATGGTAATTCTTTCATAATTAACGCTTGTTGTTGATATAGAAAGTATGGAGTATACGTTGTTGTCACGTTTGGTGGTATAGCTTGCAATGGGGTGACATTAACTGGCCACTGAATATTCGCACTGGAATTGGCCATTGTTTCTAACATCCGTGCATAACTACCCACTGATCTATTTTATGTCGAATTTTGATAGCTGCCTTGAACTAGAATCATCGTGGCACCCGCAGTTAAAAACTAATCATAATGGCATTCCTCCCAAACCTTGGCTCTATTAAGAGATGCAATTACCGTATTTGGTTGAGCCTCTTTTACAAACATTTTTAGTTCAGGTGGGTACAATCCATTGATTAATATAGACAATATAAAAGCCTCTGGCATTTGGTGATTTGGCCACTTGCGGAGTATATGTGCCACACAACCATAGTATGATTCCACTGCCTCTCCTAGACCCATTTAGCTAGTCATTAATCTTTCTTGAAGCCAATTATCAAAACCAATTGGGTGAAAATGGATTAAAAATACATTCTTCAATGCTTTCTAATTGAAAAATTAATCCACTGGTTGACAATTGTACCATTCAAATGCCGTGACTTTTAAGGTTGTTGGCAACCATCATAATCAAATATCTTCAGTTCTTCCATTATTGGCTATATATGCTGTCAAAAACTGAGACAAATGTTGATCGAGATTTGTACCCAAAAAACTCCTAAAAATAGGTAATGGAGCCACGCTTATTGTACGATCACTTACATCACCTATTTGTACTACTATTAGAACCACTGGACCACCCATCGCCATTGAAGAGAACAATGTTCCACTTAATCTTTTGTGAAAATAACTGGTGCCTTTCCCAATTGATTGTTTTGAATTTTCAAGTTTTTTCAATTTACTATTATTGTCCCTTACTAAGTTATTCGATTGAATTGGAGATAAAAATGATGGATTTTGAAATACACTAAATTGGCTCTTAATGTCCAATAATTTATGCTACTCTACGGAACCAATTTTGACGAAATTGGAGGCTTCTATTATTGAAAATGTATCCAATGGGGTATCCAATTCTTCTATGATTCGTCCACTTGCAGTTAATGGCCTCAAGAAAAATACTGGTCTACTGACCAAATTTTTCGTGAGTGCTCTTAGCAACTTCTCTAATATTATATACTTCTGAAATATTTGATATCAATCAACTTCTGGGTATACTCGGATATGCCGACATGCATGCAACTATGGTTTAATCCAACTTTGTCAATGATTCCTTTTTAACTTTCGTTGTTGCTCATTACGCAATAAATTTCTTGCTTGCGATCTCTCTATTCTTTCTTTCAACTGTCGTATTCTCTTTATTGTTAAGTTCTAATTCTTAATAATCATACTCTTTCATTATATTCTAATGAATTTGCTTCCTATCTCCCATCTAACTAAACTGGTAGTTAATTCCTAACACTCAATGCTATTGTCTATCCCCGATAGCGGTGCCAAAAATGTGATTGTTGTTTTACTTATTCTACAATTCCTTTTAAAATAAACCTGTATAAGAGAATTTGAACACAGGGAAAGACTAAATGTATGAGTTTTACTTGTTAGGATCACACAATTAACCATATTCCGAACCACTAAAATACCAAGAAACACTACAATGCTTTCTCCTAGTAATAATACTCCTTCATCAACTGATAACAACAGTGTACAACCTTGCACTCTCAAAAGACCACTCAAAATACATAATTTCCATCCAACACCAAAAATAATAGACTTCACTCCAACCAATCTGAATTCATATAATTTTTGTAATCACAGAATTTTTCTATCTAAACACACACAACTCTCAATAAACAACAATCATAATCCTCCAATAACTCCTCATATAATTCAATCACTCAGTGCTCTAATTACATAATCAATAACTCATAAATCAATCTTTGATTTATTCCACAGACTCACTTCTCAGTATTCAAAAACTATCCATTACTTTTCAACAACAAAGAAACACAAAAACAAAGAAGTAGCACCAAGCTTACCCCTACTCATGACTATCATAGTCTAGCACTCATACTAACTTCTACAACTCCTATATATTTACTTTCTATTCCCAGATTCTAACCGTAATCTAGTAATTAACCACTTTTAATAACTAAGTTAACTATCTGTCCTCGTGAACTGACTATTCTATGGACTATTAGTCTATTTTACCAATATCTTACAAAAACGAACTAATATCTATTCTACAGTCTGCCAATGTAATTTAAGGATCTAGTACAATAAATCTATTCAATGTTTTGTATATCCTTGCTTTAAATTACAACTTCATCTCAAGAAGATTATTGATAAATAATGATAAATTAATTATTTTTATAAATAAATAATATCTAATATTAAATAAAAGACTTAATAAAAAGTTAATAGCCACAAGAATAAGAAATAAACAAAATAGACTCTATTAATTTCATAATAAAGAAAAAAATCCAAAATTTATTGAAACAAACTTAATAACAATTGAAAAAAAAATACAACTATAGTATAAAAGGTATAGATACTTATATTATATTGGATTATAGCATTTATCACAAGCTCATTGAATGCAAGAATTACCATTATTTAGCACACTTGAAAGAATATACAAAGATTGTTTAGCAAGCTAACAACATCAAGAGAGATTTCTATGACCTTCATCTTATTACACTAAATAGATATTCCAACTTATGCATTTTGACTTAGTAGAATCTATAAAAATACCATTCTTGGGAAGCTCTAAATATTTTGTAGTATTTACAAATAATCATTTTTACAAGAGTTGGATCTAATTTTTACAAAGTACAAATGAAACATTTAAAAAATTCAAAGAATTTAAAACATAAATAGAACAAAAAATAAGAAAGCAAATAACAAGGCTAAAAATAAATAGTTGAGAAGAATACTTGACTCAAAAATTTATCAAATTTTTAATTTTCTATAGAATAAATTGATAATTTAAAATAGCATATATTTTGTAATAAAATAAAATTAATAAAAGGCATAAATCAAACAATAATTGAAAGAGTATGCTTGATATCAATTATATGCCGACTACCAACCTACTTGTGGACTAAAGCTATTTACTATCCTAACTATCTAATCAACTTTAGTTTGACTAAAGTTAATTGAGGTATTACTCTAGAAAAATTATACAACACGATCAAATTGCATATAAATTACTTGTAAATTCTTGGATCACTTGTCTACCTATACATAATAAAAGAAAATAGATCAATGTTAGAAAAAAAAACAATCAAATGCATATTCTTAAAATATGATGATCAAACAAAAGCCTATAGAATATTTGACTCCACACTTTATAAGATTCATATTAGCTAAGACATAATGTTTGATAAAACTCTAATAGATTTTGATTATATGAAGACTAATTCAATTCTAAGAGATGAAGTAGAATAGTTTTTAGATATTAATTCAGTACCAAAAGATACATTAAATATAATAAATCAACAAATAAATGATCAAACCTCCATAACTGAGTGTATTATATCTGAGAAAGAAGAGAGCACATATCTTTTATAAGTACTAGCGAGCAATTTAACAAAGTCTACTTTGAGAGATACACTTGAGTACTCTCTTCAACAAACAACCTCAAAAAAATAGTGATTAAAGAAAATATCTAATTTAAAACATAAAACCTAATACAAAATTTAAAGATAGTTATATGTAATAGAAACTGATCCTGAACCTAAGAACTACAAAGAAACAATTTAATACATTGGATGGCAAGAAGTAATCAAATAAGAAGTCAAATAAATACAAAAAAATAGTAATTGGATCTTAGTTGACTTATCCAAAGATAGGACTTCAATATCAACAAAGTCGATCCTTAAAACAAAGTTGGAATCTAATGCAAGGCTTAGAAACTAAAGCCTAGAAATATGGCTTGCAGATATGAATAAGAAGAAGAAATAGACTTCTTTAAAACCTTTGGATGGGCTTAATTTTGCACAAGAGGAGGCTACAATTTTCAACATGGACAGCAATGGGGCAATTTGTCTTTTCAAGTTATTATTGCAGGTGGAGGGGAAGTGTTGGCAATACCCAACTTGCACTCTTCTTCCCGCAATAACAACGCTTCCTTCCGCCACCTATGCCTCTCGTGTTGCAGCCACATCACTTCTCACTCGTGCCATGTTATGTGTTAAGAAGGTGTCAGTTTGCACTCTATCCATCCACTCACTCAATGTCGACAACATGAAGATCGAACGTGTAATCAACTCAATCCATGTTTACAACATGAAGATCAAACGTGTAATCAACTCACTCCATGTCGACAACATGAAGATCGAACGTGTAATCAGCAATTAGCCGAATCCATGACTTGCGGTACGTCGTCTATACATGAGAAGTAGCCAGCATCCAGATCGTGAATCTTTCTCACAATCATGAAAAGGTTCACTGCCTGCTGAAGCCGATTACGTCGAGTCCCTGGTGTCTTTCCCGATTGGGTTGGAACCCAGCAGGAGATCCTTTAAGTAGCAGTGTGCTGGGTAAAAAATATAAGTTCACTTTTCGACCGACTGAACGATCGGCAAGTAGGGTAAACCCGTAGGCACCAGACAGTACTCAGTTTGAAGATCGATTGGTTGACTCGCTCCGGAGGTTGATTGCGTTTACAGCCCACTCTAGCGTCGTTGGCATTGTTCCAGCGCAGGACCGCATTCCGAAGATTGTACAATCATGGTGCAGACAGCGATTGGTAGCGAGAACGGTCGCTGCGCTGCTTGGTCGAGTTGCAGCATAATCGATACCAGCCATGAGTCAGCTCATTGCGAGGCCGCTCAGCAAGCTTCTTCTGTCTATGACATTCTGAACAATGCCACGAATGGTGCAGCTAATGGAAGCAGCAAGCCCCTTCATTTTCGTGGCGATGATGTCGAACTCATGAAGCTAGAAGCTACTTTCGCTGGTTTGAAAACTAGTTCGGAGCCACAGAAGATTTCAAAATCATCTCGTAATGCAGAAATCCCCGTGGCAGTTCCTTCTAAACGACCAAGTTGTATATTAGGAATGGGGACGGCTACCCCAGACCGGGTGTTTCATATGTCTGATTTTTCAAGGGATATTCTCCATGGCTTTGGTTTTGATACTCCGGTAATCCGCCAGTTTTGTGATCGCATCTGTAAGCACTCATATTCCAGGTCCATCTTGTTTATTCACAGTTGCCAAAGTTGGAACGATCAATAGATTGATCGCTGACTGCATTGGTTTGCGTGTGACTGGCCCCGTAGACATTGACACATGCTATATCTGTTGATTATCGGACGTGTTCAGGTCAAAGCTCCGGCATCTTGAAGAAGCGGATGGTCTATGGGCGGGAGATATACGATGAAAATCCAAACCTGATGACTTATGGAGCACCATCCTTAGACAAGAGGTTTGACTTGTTCGCCTCTGGAGCCATGGAGATAGCCACTCTAGCGGCTGAGCAAGCGCTGCTCGACTGGGGCGGGGAGAAGTCCAAAATCACGCACTTGATCACATACTCCACCACGGGGATGATTACACCGGCTCTAGATATGCAGCTCATCAAAGCGCTCGGCCTTCCGCAAACCGTGAAACACTTCTGGGTGTCGATGATGGGTTGCCACGCTGGTGTGATCGGAATCCGCACAGCCTCCGAAATCGCACAAGCAGATGAGAACAACCGCGTCCTGGTGGTATGCGTAGAAATCAACTCAGTGCATGCGCAGCCTCTAAACCCCGCTAACTTGCTAGACCTCAGTAAACACGTCTGCACGGTTCTCTTCTCTGACGGCGCTGCAGCCATGGTTTTGGGCACTCAGCCCACAGAGCACGAGACACCCATCTTCGAAGTCGACCGGTGTCACACGTCTCACATCCCCAACACTGATTTATACATAACGGTACAATCCCAACTAAAAAATATATTTTAAAAGAATTCAACCACTCTCGGCCCAATCATATTGACGCAGACTTTTACGAGGCTAGTTTCACTATACTATACATATTATTATACTTCATATGTGAATGTTTGAGGGACGACATTCTGAATGGGTGCACGTTTTGTTCGCTGTTGAAGGCCCAGATTTCGCAGTCGGGACTAAAGGCCTCGCTCGATAAGTCGGTGCCAGCAACAGTGGGTCAGAACTCAGGGAAATTTGCGTCGCAGCTTCTGCAAGGGACCGGGCTCACATCTGAGTCGGTGAACTGGGCGGTCCACCCTGGTGGAAAAGCGGTAGTAGATGAGGTGGAGAGAGGGTGTGGCTTGGTACCGCATCAACTCCGCTGGAGCAGGTACGCATCACCTTGGATCAATGGTCCACCAGTCAATCGTCAATCTCCTTCTCATGGAAACCGCCTTTTCTTTCTTTAGTTACCCGCAAGCGAAAGCTCATACAAGAGCAGAAGAGCTCAATGCATCTCTGAACTCGAGAGGTCACCCATGTCATGTTTCTCCCATAGTTAAGCACGCTGGTTGTGTCCTGAAACTGGTGCAGAAGATGCGGATGCACCGTTGAGTTCACAGAATGGACCTTTAACTCAGAGGATCGATATTCACGCTCACCTCTGCTGACTGTCTTAACCTGTTCTATTTGTGGTAAATTTGATGTGATAGATATATTTTGGAGAACTTCGGAAACATGAGCTCACCCACCATTATATTCGTTCTCGCTGAGATACGAAAGGAAGCCCAGAAAGCAAACTTTCCGCAAGGTAGCAGATCTAATTCTGAGATCCACCCATGGACGGTGGTGTTGGGATTTGGCCCCGGTATGACAATGGAAGGCATTCTGCTCAAGATCTGCTAACAAACGTTAGTTCACTTTCAACTACATCCAAACAGAAGGGACCATATTTGTTCTCACTTTGCCATAATTAAAAGCTGACGTCCAGTTTCTCAGCTTACCTCTCCTTAATAAAATTGTGATAAAAAATGTGAAGGCATAGATTGCTACCCAAGCTTAGTTGGGTAATTGGATGTAGTATCCTCAAAATGACCCAGTTATCCGAGATGTGGAGCTTACTACATTCAAGTCGAGAGATTGACATAGCAGTAGAGATCAAGTTACGCAGTGTAATCCTGCCATGCTAGCGTCGGCGCAGGCACCGCTGGTGCAAGTGACCGACGGTTGGGGTTATCCTGGACGTCGTACTTTGTATACTGACATGGACAATATTATCGCAACCGATAATATTTTAGATAAAAACCATTCTTAAGTCCCCATGTGGGTGAACCTTTCTGGGATGCAGAATCAGGCTCTACTGCACTGGCAAAACCCTGTTTAAGGCCGAATAATCTACAACATTCCAGGACAACCTTCTAAAATGGGGAACCCCATGGATGTTGATGATGGTGTCCGTGTTAAAAAGATACTGTGGTACTTTGAAGATAATGTGTTGCAGATGTGTACTGGACAATGGCACCACTGCCTAGATCATACTTTAAGCTTCTATTTTGGTGAGGAGGACAGAACCATTGTCTAGCAACTCTAGTTCTATCAAAAAGGTTTCTCAAATAGGAGACCATAGAAGAACCATTCTTTGAGAGATTTCTTGTTGGGAGGATTAAACTAACAATAAACTGTCATCCAATCATTTCCTGGAAAAAATTTGAGACATAATGGGCATTTTCAGTCTGTTTCATCTAAGATATAAAAGGCTTTTGCAATTGACATCGAGAGAAGGACACTAAATCAGCAATGTTGACCTTCATCTGCATGTATGGAAATATGGTTTTCTTCTCAAGGAGGATATACAAGGACACATATTCATTCAACTAATTGTTGTGCTAGCTGAGAGAGCAAATATGTGATGATCCAAGCACATGACCTGCACCTGCTTTGGCAATTAGATTATCCAAAGCAACCTACTCTTTCTACCTATCAGAATACTGAGGAAATTGACTTTAGGGTAGCTGTAACCATGAGGATAAGAGCCTCCACAGTGGTGTGTATAAATCAAATGGTACAGTCTCAAAGTTGACTCTAATTTTGTCACTGCTTTGACAGCATTCATTCAATTATACCCAACTCCTCACATTGTGTGTAACTGCAAGCTCATTGGGTTTCCTGTTGAAGTCCTGCAGAAACACACAATTACAAGTGATTGAAAGTAGTGGACAATCATTCCTCTGATTTGATGCACTATCGAATTCTGAGATGAAAAGTAAGATCCATGTATAAAAATGGTATTGATGCATCAACTTGCAAGATGGTTGCTGTCTACCCAAAGGTTTTTGCAAACCAGCACTACTCCTGAACTGGTCTCCAAACAACAGGAGCAGCAGATCAGTTATGAGGCCACCTTATAAAAACACCCTTCATCCAGTCACAATAGATATAAGTGACAAGCAGATGAACTAGTATTTGTTCAAATTGATATATCAGGCACCAAGGTCCCACCATGAGTGAAACAAATATGATAAAGAATATGATTGCTGAATTTTTTTCATTCTGATGCACTATTTGCATCAGATAATAATTCTGCTAAGACAAAGTCCCTTTAGACTTACCAAACCTTGCAATGCCACTTCCCTACTCCTTCTGTGGCACTGCAGTGCTTCACTGATATTGGGAGTCCTTCTGTTATACAAAACAACTTCTAAGACCCTCATGGTATGCTTTGTTAGAGATCTGAAATTAACATCCTATTCACTAAAGATAATCCATTACCAACTCTTCATAAGTCTATCAAAGTTGGCTCTGAGCAAGGATATATTGCAGCATATGATGATACAGTTGAATTATTCTGGCAGATAGAGACCCTGCAATCATAGATTTGCTGTAATTCATCAATGTGACAAAAGTAACAAAAATCAACTGCAACTGGATGACAGTAGCTCTTAGATAGTTCTTTGGATGTGTGTTGATTGTGAAGAATGTATAAGGAGGTGATTGTCAAACCCCAACATGGTAGAATACATGGCAATACATCAGCTCCATCTTCTGCCCACTTCTTATATGAAAAGATGCTGTACCATTTCATGCCTAATAACTTTTGCTTCAACTGTTGAAAAATAAACCTCTGCAGGTCCTTTCGAAAATTGAATGGCCTGTCGAATATCTTAGAGAGATCTCCAACTAGACTCACGAGACGGAGTTATTAAAGTTTTAGATTTGCCCTATCTCCACATATGATTGATTGAAAACCCCCCTGTAATATCTGACTAGTTCAAGAATGATTCAGCAGTTGCTTGCATCTAATCTCCTGAACATGGTTACAGTCTACAGTTCATGTAAATGGGAAGTGCTGAATTTTAACGTTGAAGTCCAATTCTCAGATGGTAATGTGGCCAACATCTCCACAACAATGAAGAATGTTCAAGAAGACAAGTATAGCATAGTGGAATGTGGTATGAACTAATTGCATGAACAGGAGAAATTATTCCTGGAGCTTTTCATGGCTTTCTTTATATATTTCAGGTGGGATTCACATTCATAAAAGCTTCTAAGCTTGGAGGAATTACCTACTTATGTATAGTCTTCAATTTTCTCCTCTCGGGCATTCTTCAACGATCAATAGAAATAAACACTCCTTCCTTCGACCATGAAGCTCTACTCTAATGATGAGAACAATACTGTACAGAGTCATGAGCTACAACCGGAATATTTGTAACATATTCAATGATCATAAAAACAGACTCATTTATAATTGAATCTCCCCACAACATATTTTCCGTAGCATGGGAATATTATGAGCAACACCACATCAACTTTTCCAAATTGCGTGTCAGGTTGCAATCTGCAGTCCTCCTAGTGTCTTTTCCAATACCTGCTGTTCCTAGACGAAATACTCCAGGTGAATATTGAATGATCAATGAGAATGGCTTTCAGCTATCACTCACTCACATTTCTCAAGTCAAGTACTACGAGATTGACCATATAAATGTTTGTTATATGCACAGCAGCATAATTTCCGTCATTAAATCCGCTGACGAAGAAATGACAAGGGCCTAAACTATGTCAGATTGAGAAAGGACGCGAAGCACATTGCATAACGGACAATTTGCGTAACAACGTCGAGTGGGACTATGGAACTAAGAACTGCAATTACACTAGATAGTGAACACAACTTATGATGATTATATAGCAACAATAGAATATACATTAGAACACTAAACGAGAGCATATTACTCCGCGGTTTAGGCCTGCAAACTAAACGTTAGCATGATAATTTTACTCTTCAATGAAGCGATTACTTTTAACAGGATTAACTGCAGGCTGGGCTCACTACAAAAACTCATGCTCTCATTTTTTAAGGAAAATGTCAAACAGTACTCATCCCCCCTGCGGAGCAACACAGAGAGCGTTAAAATCTAATAAACATAAGATACAGGTTATTCCAGGTTGACCTTCATGCCACTCCTGCTCCAACTTCGAAAGTCGACTTCCGGATTGCTCCCCAGCTGCTATAGGTTCCCTTCTCCAGTCTGACCTTATTTATCCTGAAAAATAAAAACTCGTGTGAATTAACACCATTGAGTTTTATACAGTCCAAATTCTGTAATAATTCCAAAATACAATGATTTGTGCTAATGAATTCTGTCTTGTGCATAGCATTTGAATGTGTCACAAAAACATGACGAAAGCATGAAAACAGGATGGACATTATTCATTGCTAACAAAAGATATTGGAAGCCAAGGGAAGGGCACTTCTGGTGTCTTAGTTAAGAGCTGGATAAGTCACAATATGGAATATTCAACACTCCTCTTTCAGAAGTGGGACTTAGTTCTCTACTAAAAAAGACAATATATTCCTAAAAGCTAGAAAACTTATCTCTTGGGAGAGGTTTTGTAATTATATCTACCGCCATGTGCTCAGTAGAACAATATTCCAAACCAATTTGTCCTTTCTCAACAAATTGCCTAATAAAATGATATTCAATATTCCAATGCTTTATACCATGATGGTGTGCTGGATTCTTTGAAATAGTAATGGGATCTTGATTATCCTCATAAAAGAGAATCTTTTTTGGTTTTGAAATATCATAATTCCTAAGTACTTTACAAAGGCCACGAATTCTCCCCCTATTGCAGCAACTAAGGCTACATACTTTGCTTCTATTGACAAAATAGAAACTAAAGATTGCTTCTTATTTAATCAAGTGATAATTCTTTTGTCTAATATAAATACATAACCTCCTATTGAATAGTGTGTCTCCACACAACTTGCTCCATCTATATCACTATAGCCTACAAATTATAAATTTTCTTCTTTTCTTCCATATTACAATATTAAATATTTCATTTCTTGTAAATAACAAAATATTTTTTATTGTACTTTTACAATTCATCTTTGCATTTCACAAGGATCTTAAAGTTCTTACCACCAATAAGTACATCATCAAGATAGATAATTAGTACAAAAACTAGTTCTTCCATGTACATTTTATAGAAACAAGAGTCTGATTTTGATCACTCCCAATCAAAATTCAATAAAGATTTATCCGAATTCTTTTCCATCCATGTCCAAATTGCTTAAAATTGTATAAAGTCTTTAATAATCACAATACCTTACCTTTGTGTTCTAATAAAATTTCCAAACCTTTTGAAATTTTCATATAAATGTCCTCTTTAAATTTTCTATTTAAATAAGCTCAAGTAACATCAAGTTGTAACATATTCTAATTAAGAGTAGCAATAATTGTAACAAATATATAAATTATTGCAAGGCAAGCAACTATTACAAAAGTTTCTTAGTAATCAAGATTCTTTACTTATGTAAAGTCTTTTGCAACTAATTATGCTTTAAAATATTTAATAAAGCTATTACTAGCAAGCTTTTTCTTAAAAAACCATTTTAAATCCACAACCTTCTTATTATTGGATAAAATAAAAACTCCCATGTACTATGATCTTTCAAAGAATCAAGTTTTTTTTTCATGGCATGACTCCATTCTTTGCAAAAAGGTGAATTCATGGCATATTCAACAATTTCTAATTTTGTATGTTCATCAACACAAATCATATCTACTATTTCAATTGGTAAGTCATAATCTTCTCAAATAAAATTGTTATTCTTTTTTTTTCAAGGCATGTAATGCATCCTACTATTGCTTATAATATTTGTCAAGTCAATGCCATGTATATAATGATATCTTGGTGGTAGAGCTTAAGTCATTACTTTCACTTCTAGTTAATAAAATTCTACTATTTTTGTTAGTATAGGATTTACTTTCTCTTTAATTATTTTTTTATCCAATCCATCATACACATATAATCTTAAGACTAGAGATTGAAATATTTTTAATTCATTTGAATATTGGAAATTTAATATATCAAAATTATTTCTATCATCTTTATCTTCTCCAATTT